GGGTGAGGGAGACACAGAAAGGGGCATCGGATCCGAGCCCAGAGCAGCTGGCATTTACCCCAGGGCTGCCCCTGCCAGCCTGTAACCTCAGGACCTGAAGCTTCCAGCCACTCCTCCAGTGGTTGGGAAAGCGGCTCCCGTGGGGTGGGGGACGTTACCTGGGTACAGAGCTGGCACAGTGCAGACTGGGAGGTGGGAAGAAGTGGGGGGGTGCACAGATGGCCCAGGCTGGGTCTTAGGGGGGACTGAGGCGGGGTTGCAGGGGACACTGGGGTGGGGCACAGCTAGGGGGAAAAGGGGAGCCATGTGAGTTTTCATCCACCTGCTTTTACTGCTCAGTGAGAAACCCCAGCAAACAGCCTTGTTTCGGTCACTGGACTGTGCTTCTGTGGATGTGAGAGGCGCTGGGCCTCAGGTATGTTGAGGAATTAGTTTTATCATATAATCATCATCGCCCAGTGTATGTGTTTCTCCCTGTTCTGAGAATCTGTGCCTGTCCCTTCAGCAGGGGCACAGAATACCTGTTTGGGGGAGGGCTGGGTGCAGGACCCTCCTTCTAGCCTCCCAGGGACTAGGAGGCTATGTTCTCAGCTGCTCCTGAGATGAGTGATTGGCCCTGACATCAATTCTCCCAGCTCAGCCATCTCCTCTGTAAGGTGGGGATAGAGCCTCTTCCCACCCCTCTGACTCTACACTCTTTTTAAACCCAATGATGTAGAAGTGAGAGTTCTCTGAAGGGGCAGAAGTGTCCGGCCGGCAGAAGGAACTTCTATTCAGAGCCCCTTGGACCTGGGCTGCAGGAAGACCCAAGGTGCCTCACAGGAACACACCAGGGTCTTAACAGGGTATGTCTTGTGTGACAGTGTGGTCATAGCTTAATTGTTATTAGTTCTTCTGCACTTTTTCTGTACTTTTTTCCTATTATGGTCAGATTTAGTTCTACAATAATTTTTAAAAACCGATTTTCTAAACTACAAGTACAATCAACACCAATTTAAAAAATATTGGTCATGTCGGATAACTGGTGACCAGAAAACAAATCCATTAGTTAGGGAAATGTGAAAGCATCCGCCCTGTAGAGAAACTGGTGACCCTTCCATGGTGCTGCCTTCACGGTCTGTGTCCTGATTCTGCGTGAGGTGTGGCCTGTGTGGAAGGGCGGGGCTGGTGCAGCTGGCCCACCAGGAGTAAGGTCAGGAACTGTGAGGAGAACCCTAAGGATAGCATCACAAAGGTATCCATTCCTAAGAAAGTTTAGGATGAGGCCACAGGGGGCGCCCTGCTTGCTCCTGAACAGGATGGAGCCCTACTACCTCCCAGGCACACAGTCTGAAGTTCACCTGTTGTGGGTTTTGGACTTTATGCAAATGACATCCCATTGTGTCGCTTGTTGGCTCAATGTGGTTTTATAGACACGATGTGATATTTTACTTGGACATTCATGTATATGTAGTGAGATTACAAAGCAAGGGGAGCCAAGGATAGGCACCAAGTCAGATGTGAGGCCAAGTGAGGAGGCTGGGAGGAGCACACAGTGCTGAAAGATGTTAGTGAAACATTGTATCTTTAGCTAGGAGCACACAGTGCTGAAAGATGTTAGTGAAACATTGTATCTTTAGCTAGGAGCACACAGTGCTGAAACAAGTTAGTGAAACACCCTATTTTTAGCTAGGTGAGACATGGCATCTATCTATTATTTCACTTCAGATGGAACATGTGACACTACCTAGTTCAGTTCTGTATCTATCCACACTTCACAATGAAATTGGAAAGCACTTCTTTGTGAAATGGGGGACATCTGTGATACTCTCAACAATAAAGATAAATATATTTTTTTGAAGGTTAAGATCATGTTAAAAATTGAAACCTAATGGAAAGAAGAAACTCTGCAACCTTGCAGGCCCTCTAGTGCCCAAATTGTGTAACTACAGTTAATGTCTTCAATTCTTTTGCCTGATTCACTCATTTATCTCCCAAGGCAAGGGAAACAAATAAAAAATAAACAAATGGGACTACATCAAACTAAAAAGTCTTGCACAGAAAAGGAAATCATCAGCAAAAGAGAGACAACTCAGTGACTAGGAGAACATATTCACCAATGATCCATCTGATAGGGGCTTAACATCCAAAATTTATAAGGAACTTACACTACTCAACACCAAAAACCCCACAAACAATCCAATTAAAAAATGGGCAAAGGACCTGAATAGATGCTTCTCCAAAGAGGAGACACAGATGGTCAACAGACATATGAAACGATGCTCAACGTCGCTAATCATCAGAGATGCAAATCAAAACCACAGTGAGGTCTCACCTCACACCTGTCAGAATGGCTCCATCAACAAACCAACAAACACGTGCTGGTGAGGATGTGGGGAAAGGGGACCCTAGTACACTTCTGGGAATGCAGACTGGTGCGGCCGCTTTGGAAAACAGTATGGACGTTCCTGAAAAGCTGAAACATGGAGCCGCCTTATGACCCAGTGATTCCACTCCTAGGGATATATCCTAAGAATCTTGAAACACTAATGCGAAAGAATATATCCACCCTTGTGTTCACAGCAGCACTATTTACAATAGTCAAGCTATGGAAGCAAGTGCCCATCCGTAGATGAGTGGATTAAAAAGCAGTGGGACATTTACACCATGGAATACTACTTGGCCATAAAAAAGAAGGAAATCTTACCCTTGGGGACAGCAGGATGGACCCAGAGGGTATTATGCTAGGTGAAATAAGTCAGTCAGAGAAAGACAAATACCCTGTAATTTCACTTACATGTGGAATCTAATAAAACAAATGAACAAACAAAATGGAAAGACTGATAGATACAGAGAACAGACTGACGGCTGCCAGAGGGGAGCAGGTTGGGGGGCCGGGTGAAAAGGGTGAGGGGACTAAGACGCACAAATCGGCAGTTACACAGGAGTCACGGGAAATAAGGGCCGGTGGGTACTGGAAATACGGAGGGGACACCATGTAAAGTACAGGACTGTCTAACCACTAAGCTGTACACCTGAAACCAATATATAACAACAAAAAAACAGAATTAACAGCAAAATGAGGTAGAATGGCCTGCCCCCAAATTTGTTTATGTTAAACGGTAAATTTTACATCAAATTTAAAACTACCACCAGGCTGCTCTTCATTCCCTTTGAAGAAGGACCCAAGAGAGTGTTTCAATGTTTTATAGCAAGAATGTTTCATAAAACTATTCAAAATTCAAATGTACATTTCAAAGGAGAATCATTAAATGTTTATGGCCGTCGAACATTTTTAAATTGGTTTGTCCCATGTCCTTCCTTTAAATTTTTAGAATTACTACATTACCAGCAATAAATTCCTTTCAGAATTTATGGGAGAATCACACCAGCTGGTCCTTCCCCAGGACTCAGCTCCACATCACAGCCTCCAGGTTCCCAGGGAGAAAGGGATCCTCCCTATAACTGGGAGCTGCGGGCCCCCAGCTGGCTCTTAGGGTCTGACTTCACCCTGCTTTCTACTGTCAGCATTTGTGCACAGAGCTCATCAGCCCTTCACAGTTTTAAGTGTCGTGAGGGCAAAGTCTTTGTCTTTTTTATCTTTGTATTTCCACAGTTCTTAACATTCTATGTATGTTTTTCTCCCCTTTTGGTTGAAGTAGACAGACATTTAAGTGAGATAAGTTGTATAACTATATTTTAAAACCAAATTTACTTTTGAAACATATTTTATAGTTTGGTCAAGTGGTCAAAAGGATTTAATAGTCAGAAAAGATGAGATACAAAAATATAAAACCATTGTAGGATACAGTGTATTGCATTTGACCACTACTGAAGGTATTATCTGATGGTAACTAATGTGAAATTTAACTTGTTCCTATCACGGGCACAGCTGATATTTTTAAAAAATAGAAAACAGTCAACATTTAAAATACTGCTGGGGGTCCCACTGTGGCTCTGCATGGAAGCCTCTGCCGGTCTGTCAGTCATTACAGACACTGACGGTACAATCAACACCATGGCATTTACCAGCTCAGTGGCATCACAAAAAAAGCTCAGGACTTCAGCTTACAGCAGAGTGCCTTGTGAATGCTGGGGAAGTCCTTTCTGAGCCTCAGCATTCCCACGGTAAACGCAAGTGTCCATACACATACTTACACACACACACACACACGCACACACACTTACATGCATATACACATACACATATGCACATATACTTATACATACACATGCACATACATGCACACTTATACACACATACATGCATATACACATGCATACGCATACACATGTGCGCGCGCATGCACGCACACACACACACACACACACACACACACACCAAGGTGCCTAGCTTAGTCTGAGCCTAAAACTGTAACCTCCTCAGACAAACTACATCTCATCAGGAAACGGGCACGGTTCCCCCTATGCTGTGTCCAACAGCAGGCCATGCTCTACTCCTTCATTCATAATAAAATTCATCACCACTTCTCACCCTTGATAATAAAGTCAGGAGGATTACGAGTGGACTCACCGACTTATGTTTGAGCAGAGGATTCTGGAGCTCCGAGGTGTGGCCAGAGACGAGATGTCCCCGGAGGGGTTGTCAATGTCGTCAGCATTGGTGGACTGCACATGGCCCCTATCCACGTGAAAGAAAAGACGTGGGTCTCTTTATAATAAATACTGAAGAAATAAAGTGTCCTAGCTTCCCCTTCAAAATCTTATTTGCTAAAATATATCAAAAATTGAAAATGCAAGAAAATAAAGGCATGATGAAGCAGCAATTTGCCTAAAAAATAAAGGCAGGTTTCCCTTTTCCAGAACAGGAGTTGCCAGAATCCTGTGAGTTCAGGTTTGGGCCAGAGTGAGAGTGACGGTGGGTTGGTGTTTCTGAGCATGAAAGGCTGTCTCTGCAGCCCTGGGACAACCCATTTTTGGATCCTGGGAGGCGGCGTGGGGCAAGGTAGAGATGAGCAGGACCTGCAAAGTGAACAGGGCTCCTGTGGAGATGAAACCTGGAGCAGGTGCCTAGGACCCTGGCAGACAGCAGTGTGTCTGTCTGTACTGAAATCTGTAACAGATCTCTGATGAAAGTCCTCCCATTAAACAGGTACCATGCTGGGGAAATGTTAGAAATTGGTGAGAAAGCTTACGTTGTCATAAAAAGTAAGTCTAGTAATTCTTAAATATTAGGAAACATTACTTACGTGTAGAGAGGAATGTATTTGCTTCTAGAACTTGGACTCACGCTTGAAAAAGAGAAAATATGGGCCATTGAGTTATTGTTATTAACTTATAAAACCTCAACAGTATTTTTCTTATTCAAGTGAAAATAAAGTCTTCAGAGCCATCTCATAGGAACTGGCCTCTAAAAGTTTCTAATTTTAAACAGAAATCATTTAAAGATGTAGTTTTAAGTGAAAATCAAACACAGATCAACTCCAAGCTCTTAGGGACACATCTTTGCTGACGCCATGGTTTAGCTCCAGTGTGAACCTCCCTTGTGCGTTTCTCTTCTGCTGTACACTCCTTGGTGATCAGACGTGGGTTGTGGGTTGTAGTGAGAACAAAGCTAAAGCAACTTTCTAAAGCAGAAATGACATTTTTTTAGACTAAATGAAAAAAATGATTCACGTGGATTTGTAATGACACAAAGCTTGATAAAAATAATTTATAGTCCCTGAAGTTCACCAATTCTGTCACCTTAGAATTCCACGTCTTTCTGAAGCTCCTGATAGTTAAACTGTTGTGTGTACTAAACAGTCTAGACTTTAGGGGGATTAACAGACAGCATGAGGCGGCTGCGGGACTGAGCAATGAACTGGGGTGAGGTCTGTGGGCCTCTGGACGCTTTCCAACCACGGGCTAGAGCATCGAACTCCTGATGATAAATACGCGACAGCGGAAAATCTTAGGATAAGAACGTTAGGATAAAACTTACAAATTAACTGGTTTGACTGGTGCCAAGAAAGATCTTGTTTGAAATCTGTCCCAGAGTCCACCGACCATCTGAAACCATCAGAATGGATGACGCTTAATGAACGAGTCACTGTGGTTTCTAGCACATTAACTCCAGTGGCCTTACCTGCTCTCCCATCAGAGCCCAGCCCAGGCAGCACACGAAAAGCACTGGGGACAAGCACCCAACTCTAGGGTTTGCTCCAGAGCCACTCCTGGTCTCGGCCCTGGTCTCAGACCCTGAACTTCAGTTTGTTTGCTTAGCTGGAGTCTGCCTCAATCCCCACCCCCTTCCGAACGAGCCCTGGAGGAAGGCCTGACTGGTTTTCACCTGAGACTCCCAACCTGGATCCCCCTTAGCCACAGCCCGTCTACAGCCCGTCTCCCCTTTCCTATCCAGCCCAGACCCTGAGCTTGGAGCCTCACCTAGCCAGCGAGGACTTTGGACACCAGTATTGTCCAACACTGGACAATATGTAATAAAATGACCAATGTACGAAGGCATAAGCTCCATGGAGCCGAGACCCTTAAAGATGGTTATGAGCCAGGCACCTCTCTGTGCTTTAATCTGCTTTAATTTCTAAGTGAAAACCCCACAATGAGACTGAGAGCCGTTCTTCCTCCCTTAGCACCTTTCTGTCAATGCTCGAGAAGTTTTCAAGATGATGCACCTCTTAGGGTCCATGTCTAGGCCCATACACAGTGCCATCAGCTTCATTTTCAGTCCTATGGGTTTTATAGATATTACAAACTTTGTTATGAGCACTAGTCCCAGGGCCTGTCACACTTCTGAGAAATGGGATTCGGCAGGAAAGGCCGAGGGCGGAGACAGGAGATTTGCTAGCACAGGCAGGAGTGTTAGGAGGTTGAAAGTGGGGCTAAGATAAGATCTGGTAGGTTCTGGGATTAAGCCTGGAAAACACAGGTCGAAGGCGGGAGAGCACTATTTGCAAAGACAGAGCCTGAGGAAGAGCCCGGCGACATGAGGGCTGGGAGGTCAGCTGGCTGTGCTGTGATGGGGGATGGGTGCCGAGTGTAGCAGGAGGGCGCCCGTGGGTGGTGGGCTGCGTGTGGGTGGGGCTGGAGGAGGACCTGGAAGAGCAGGAGGCAAGGTGGGGCTGAGGAGGAGCTGAAGAGAGGCCGTGGGCAGGTAATGGAAAACTTGGCACGTGCCAGGCCAGAAAGGATGGGTTCACTCTGTACATCAGCGGAGTCACAGGAGAGGCCACACTTGAGGAAGGGCCCCCGGCTGTGGTGTGGCCATGAGAATCCCTGAGATGAATTCCTGGTGCTCAGAAATGAAAGAATGGCCATCTCTATGGACAACCAGGCCTGCTTTGTTCACTAGCTGAGGAGAGCTCTGCAATTCGTGGACGTGCCCACTCTGTCTCGAAAGCACAGGGCTTAGCTCTAGAGTCAGGGTCAGACGCTGCCCTCGGGCCGGGTCCTCTACTGCAGTCACTTCTCTGTGTCCTCAATTCTCCCTCTTTTCAGTTTTTAAATAAACACTGCCAGTGCAAACGGCTTTTGAGAAAGAGGCTATCTTAAATGAAATTCTAAAATATCACACAGATACTATTAAGTGCCTGAGGTCATTGGTGACGTTTATGACTAAGGCGCTGTCAGTGCCACACGTGTATGTATTTACTTGGTCTTTCCATAATTCTTAACAATAAACAAGTCTTCCTGTCGCCCAGCGTGTGGGAGTTCGGTTCGGTAGTCAGTATGCTGTTGCCGGATGAGCTCTGACCTGGGTTAAGGCTGGCGTGCTCTCGTATCTCTTCAGGGTGAAACACTGTGAGACAAGGTCGGCGGCTTTTTCCACTGTTGTTTCTTCTGGATCGAGCTTTGGTGGCAGCATCTTGTCCCAAGGAACACTTTCATAAGCCCTATGAAATTATTAGTGATGACACTTTATGAAAAGTACATATTCAATTGGTATCATCACAACGTCACACAATGTTGCAGGCAGAATTCTCAGGTGTCCCCCAAGATTCCTGCTTCACCCCCCCCCCATACACTGTACATGCCACAGATAATCACCTCCCCTCGGGTGTGGGCGGAGCAGGTGGATGTGACAGATCAATCTCCTGATACTTTGTATGGCAACTTCATAGGCAAAGGGACTGTGCACACGTAACTAGGGTCCCTCACCAGCTGAATTTGAGCTCGTCAAAAGGGAGATGATTCTAAGTGGGTTGGATCTAAACTGGTGAGTCCTAAGGAGACAAAAACAGCAGCCGACACTCCACAGCTGTCCTCGAGCACATAGTGTGCGTCCTACAGCTGCAGTGAGCTGGATCCTACCAACCACCTGAGTGACCTGGAAGATGAGGGTGCAGCTGCGGCCGACCCTGAGGACCCTGAGCGCTAGCCCAGGTGCGGTGTGCCTGGGCTTCTGAGCTGCAGAACCGTGAGATCACAGTGAGGGTTAAAGCTGCTGAATTTGTGCTCATCTGTTACACAGCAGCAGGAAACTACTGCGTATACCTACACCATCCAATTTACAAAAGGAAATCACTACGGAGAGATGCCAGGACTCCAGCCCTCTACCTCTCAGGGCACGCCTCCCTTGGTGCCCTGTCCAGCGACGTGGCTTTATGTACCCACCTACACGCCGTGACACCCAGGAGTATCTGGCGCACGCAGCCCTCTCCCCCAAACTCCAGATCAGAGCACCCACTGCGTAACTGAAATACCACCTGGATGTCCAATGAATGTCTATGCTCAGCCTGTCCAAAACCTACTCCTGGCCTTTCCTGCCACACCTGCTGCACCTGCCCCGACGGGGTTAAGTGGTGGCACATTCACTATGTCCAGCTGCAAAGCCCAGACCTGGGAGTCATCCTGACTCCTTTCTTCAGACGTATCATGTCCAAGCTGGATACTGTGTCGGCTCTATTTTCAAAACACAACCAGAAGCCAACCGCCACTTAAACTTCCTACCACCCTGCCTAAGCTGGTTACCTCTGACTGTGGTGACAGCACCTCTTCCATTTTTTCATGGGCCCATCTGCCTAAGGTATGACCTATTTACCTACCAGCTTGTTGCTTCCTGCCCACCCCCCTTGGAACGAGAGCTTCCTGAGACAGCTTTGCTTTACTCACTGACGAGTCCCATGGTTTAGGGCAGACACACAGGAGGCCCCCACGCACTTGAAGGAGCACATGAATTCCCTTCCAGGCTTTCTCTGCCCCCATTTCCTGTCCTGCTGCACTAATCTCCGCTGTCTGGGCATTTCCCTTCTGCTCTGGTTTTACTCTTCTTCTAAACACAGGTTTCTTTTAGACTCTCCCTTGGCCTGTTTATTTTAGCAATCAACGTAAGTAACCTAGTATCTGTATCTGCTGTCCTCTGAATTTCTCACAGGATTCAGGATAATATAGACACAAAAGGGGTACATAACTAAAGATAACATAAATAAATTTTTAAATCAAAATCCTACTTGGAGGAATTCTTACTTCTGTGTAGAGGACTTATAGAACGAGTCCTTTGCAGTATACTTTTTGCTTGGCTGTGAAAGTGGTTCTCCATCACCCTAGAATGAGAGAGATGACAGGTGAACGGAGCCGGCAGCGTCCTCTCCCACCACGCTCTGCTCTCCCCACTTCTCTTCTAACAGCACCTCTTAAGTCAACAGATACATACTTCTCTACTTTTCTCTATTGCCTTGGAAATTTACATTTTGTGTATATGCTTCTAAGGATTAAATTAAAATGAACAAAATGTATATTAAAGTTAACAGAAAGTCAGATTTTTATGAGCAAGCTCTTGAATTTTAAATGTTGGCAGATAGTGTTCAGTCCCACGAAACCACATTTTAAAAAGTTTTCGCTGTCTTGTCTAATGATACAAGGACATTAGTTCTGAAATATTACACTCTTCCATCTTTCATCTTACGTTATCAAAGCTAACTAACTGTTACTGTAACCGCCATTACCACCTTTAGCGGTTATGACTCATTTAGGTTCCCACTGTATGTTCCCAGTCCTTTGCCTAGTTTTGTTCCTTGTTCCCCCCGCCCCCCGGTTCTTGGTTCAGTTTTCAGTAATTCTTTCCAGGATGCGAATTTCTAGCTCTATTTTTCACTCACCTTCCTGTTTGGATACCGTTCTGGACGGGTTTAGAGTCTAGTCTAATGGTCACCGTGGTTTAATAACAGAGACATCTCACTGACTGTGCACTGCACTGAGCGTGTCTGCGGGTGTTCTGTGCCCGCCCCACCCTCTGGATGTGGTCAGGACAGTCTTGGTTTCCCGTAGCTCCAATACAGCGTGTTTGGGAGAGGACACAGGTCTGTTCATCAGCTTTAAGACTTGTTCTGCTTCACTGAGAGTCCGAGTCCTCCGGCTGGTGACTGCCAGCCTTGGGCGGCTGTCATTCCCTGCTCCTGGAGGAGGTGCATTTGCCAGTAATGGGGTCTGGATTGGACACTACCAGCCTCTACTACTCAGTCCTCTCCCAAAGTGTAACTGTAGGGACGGCACAAGATAACGCAAGACATACAATGACTGCGAAGGTCTGCAGAGTGGCCGACACGTGTAAGAGGAGTTTTGTAAGTGGTAGCTATTTTTACAAGGCTCAAAATATCAAAAACAAAGGCAATGAAATAAATGAATTACAAATACTGTATTACACCATCCAGTAAGAAAACCTTACTGCACACGCTGCTTCCTCATCAAACGTGTACGTGAGATTTACTGAGCATCCTTCATGGCGTGGTTGTGAAGGAGTGACTTTCACTGGGCTTGTCCAACCTGAAAACAAGCAGGGACATGCTTTCAGCTAAACTGCAATAAATACGTCTTCTTCCACCAGAAATGCTTCCTCATAGAGCTATAAAAACAACAAACTATACTGAAAGCTAGCAGAAGGAAGGAAATAAAGATTAGAGCATAGATATAAAATAAAGAATACAAAAACAGAGAAAATCAATGAAAGCAAGAGTTGGCTCTTTAAAAGGTCAACAAAGTCATCAAATAGCTAGACTGACTCAGAGAAAAAGACTCGAGTAAGTAAAATCACAAGTGAGAGAGGAAACATGACAACCGATTTCACAGAAATAAAAAACAATTATTGGAGATTACTATGAACAATTATACGCCAACAAATTATATAGCTTCGATGAAATGGACAAATTATAGGATCACACAACCTGCCCAGACGGAATCACAAAGAAATGGAAACTATGAGGAGACCTGTAACTAAGGAGACTGAGTTGGTAATAAAAACCCACCCACCAAGAAGAGCTATGGGCCAGACGGCATCACTGGTGAATTCTACAAAATGTTTAAAGAAAAATTAATGCCAATCCTCCATAGGCTTTTCTGAAAAAGAAACCCAAAACAAACTAATGAGGAGGGAACACTTCCAAACTCACTCTATGAATCCAATATTACACTGATCCAAAAGCTGGTCTTTATGCCTTACTAAACACTGATGCAAGGTCCTCTACAAAATACAAGAGGACAACACTCAAGGCACTAAGAGCAGCACACACACAGCCAAGTGGGTTCTGTCCCTTGAATGCAAAAAACTGGAATTGTGCACTGAGGGCGGGATTGAAAAATGCTGCAGCTGCTGTGCGGGACAGGGTGGTGGTTTCTAAAAAAAATGAAACAGAATTACCGTGAGATTTAGCAATTACACTCCTGGGTACATATTTTAAAAACTGAAAGCAGGGTCTTGAAGAGATATTTGTACAGGTATGTTCATAGCAGCATCATTCACAATAGCCAAAAAGGTGAAGCAACCCAGTGTCTATTGATGGATGAATGGGTAAAAAAAGGATTATATACCTAAAATGGAAAATTATTCAGCTTTAACAAGTAAATTAGGGCACATGCTAAGACATAGACATTGTTGTCCATGATGACATTATGCTAAGTGAAATATGACAGTCACAGAAAAACAAATACTGTAAGATTTTACCTATATGATCTCTCTATAGAGTAGTCAAATTCACTGAGACAGAAAGCGAAACTGGTTTCCAGGGGCAGGAGGAGGGGAGAGCTAGGGAGTTAAGGTTTAATGGGTACAGAGTTTCAGTTTTGCAAGATGAAAAAAGTTATGGAGATGGATGGTAGTGATGGTTGCACATGCTGTACTTAATACCATGAGCTACACTTAAAAATGGTTAAGATAGTTGTCATGAAGCGAATGTTTTTTCACCCCAAAATTCCTATGTTGAAGCACTTACCCAAAATGTGATAGTGTTTGGAAAATGGGCTGGTGGGAGGTAACTAGGTTTTGATGAGGTCATGAGGGTGGGGCTCCCATGAGAGGATTAGTGTCTTTCTGAGAAGAGGGAGAGAGGTCAGAGAAAACCTAAGGTTAGCCTTCTGCAAGCCAGAAAGAGGGCGCTCAACAGGAACTAAATCAGCTGCACCTTGATCTGGGACTTCCCAGCCTTCAGAACTGTGAGAAACAGAGGCATGTTGTTTAAGCCACCCTGTCCATGGTACATAGTTATAGCAGCTCAAGCTAAGACGATATAAAAAAAGGTAGGAAGACATACAAAGAACTATAAATATGGATATTAGGAGGCTGAAGGTAGGAAAATCACAAAGATTGCAATAGGCAACCTCTTTTTTCTCTGTGACAAGAACTACTGTGTCATCTGCTGCAAGGAGAAGAAAAGAGACCAACCGATAAAGGGCCTGAGTATAATTAGTTTAAGTCTGGAATACTTGATTGGTGCATGAGAAAGCAAGCCAACTCTGAACAGAAACAGAACCACTGACCCAATTAAATGTCTAGACAAGGTCGGAACTGGGCAACAAGACAGCCATCTAATCTTTTACGATTTGGCTTTGGTATTTACAAAAACCCACTGGAAAGCATACTGGGCTATGATACAATTAATTCTGAGAAGATGTACTTCCTTATCAGAATGTATTTGGAATCATACATATTTAGGTTTGCTAAAAACTGAGAGTACTTATTTATAATTAATGATTATTTCCAGGATCTACAAAGTCATTGAAAGCCTAGGACAAATTATATTGAAACCAATCCCCAAACTCCAGGTATTACTCTTTGAAAATGTTAATAGCTAATAACAAATACTATTAACGGAATGCTTTAACTAACCAGGTTCCAGGAATTTTGCTAAGTATTTTACAAGTCTGAATTCATTATTTCTTACAGCTTTATAAAAAAAGTAGTAGTATTGCCAATTTAAGTGTGCAGGGGCTGAAAATTCTTGACTTTGCTTAACTTTATAATGTGTAACATTTATTGGTTCATTCCTTCATGTCAGATATTTTTACATGAATTACACTAAATGGCCCTCACTATAATCTCATAAAGTATTTACGAGCAGGTGAACTTATTTTAAAATAAGGATACACGGGCATAAAGAGATTAGCAACTAGTCCATGGTCACAGTGAAAGTAAGCTTTCTGCCTGGGTTTGAGCCCCTCAGTCTGACCCCAGAGTCTATCTTCTGAATTCTGTTGTACAGATCCAGGTCGTGCAATAAGGAGGCTAGAGGAGTTCTATGTTTGGCTCTGGGTTGTTTGTGCAACCTCTGTTAAGCCTATTTTAGTCAGAAATTAGCCTTAATAAACTATTTCGTCAGCTTGTAATTTGTTGGAATACAGTTCTTACAAATAGTCCAACACTAGGCGGGGGCTTTCTGCTTACCACCAAAGTGGTATACTTGCCTACATCGGGTCTGCTATGAAGCATGAACTCAGTTCCTCTAAAGAAGCACCCTGGACAATGAGCACTACTGTATACTGAAACATTGCAAAAGACTGAGCTCAGGGCCTCTGCTGACAGACGAGAAAAGTAGTCGCTGGTTCAGAATCAGTGAAAAGTGCTGTATGAGGTGGACCGGAGCTCACCAATGGTCCCCTCACACACATACTTAAAACACTTTTGCACCTTAGACAGAATCTATCATTTGTAGACACAAGTGCATTTGAGTCTTAGTAATACTGTTTTTCCCCAGGTAGTATTTCCAATGGGTTATAAAATCATCTCTTAAAAATAGGTAGTTGAACCTTATACTCTTCCTATGAAAATTCCAAAGTAAGGAATTATCCTAAGCCCTCTGCTAGGTCGACAACTGGAATGAACATTAAAAGCATAATTTTTATCCTATGCATATATCCCTGCAAGTTGCTCTTTCTGGTTCAAAAGCGGTTACCTGGAGGGCAGGGCTGGGAAGCGAGATATTGTGGCATTATTTATATTTCCTTTACCTTCTTTCTTACCCCCTTTCTGGTCTCAACTGCCTATGGCTTCTCTTCATGTAGTCGCAGGAACCGTGACTCCCCACTGCTCCACCGTCTGCTGCCACCACTGTCCCTCCCCACACTCTCTGCTTAGAGGTCTGGTCTAGGCTGGGTGTGGGAACCTGGCACAGCTTCTGGTGCTACAGGAAGCTCAGCATCTCTGGACGCGGCACTTGGCCTGTTCCTTTCCACATGCTCAAGTATGTTTATCTCTTTCCACTCCATTTGCCAGACACACTTCCATACAGGAGCATTTCCTGTGGCTTTCACTGAGAAGTCTCAGCCCTTTTGGGCCAGGCCTGTGACACTGGGAGTGTCTACAGAAGAATCATAAGGTGTAGCTGTCGGTAGGTGTCATCAATTGTGCCTCTGGGGCTGTGTGGAGCTATTTCTGCAGGGGTTGCTTCTCCTCAGCTCCTGTTCTTACCAGATGCCAAAGTTTACTTTCAACTACTTTCCCATTTCATTTCATCCCATAACCTAATTCTTGCATAACCATCAGATTTATTTTTTTGAGAGAGAGAGGCAAGGAGGCATGCTACACAATTATGAAAATAAAATATAATTTGCCTTGTGGTAAGTTAGGTTATCTATATGCTGAGAATAAATTATCTGATGTATACTTTATGTTGGTCACTTACACTAATAACTGAACTTTTGAAAACCAAGTATTATTTTACAGATAGGTTTATAAAAGGCGTATCATTTTTACTACTTTTCCTTGCAATCTGTAACTTAAAAACAAGATTATCTTATTCGGTTCTTTACAATTTTATGTTACATTAACTACTAAATAACGAATCTTATATCGAAGCTCTTCTTCCTTGTTTCAATGTTTAAAAATTATAAAGCCAATGTCACTTTACCTCCAAGTCTTGCTCGGATAGAAATGTCTGGTACTGCCCTGGAATTCCATTTGCTGTCTTGTTTCAGTTCTTCTAATAGAATTTTTTGCCTTTTCAGGGTCGTCTGAAATCCCGTGTCTGGCCTGGGAACGCGCTGTTGCGGTTTCACGTCACTAAAATCCACCAGGCTCGGGATGGTTCTGCCAATGCCAGGCTTCAAGTCGGCGTCGCCGCCTGGGCTCATGCACTGCGAACAAGGGTCCCTTAAAGGCACTTCGTCGCGAAGTGGAAACAACGGGAAATCCGGCCCGAACGGCCGTGGACAAGGGTGGTGCAAATGACGGTCTGGCAGGGCGGAGGGCGGCTGAGGGTGAAACTTAAGAAAAGCGCAGCTGCATTTCTTTTCGATTCTGCCGCAGTCATGTCTGTCCTCAACGCCTTTCACAAAAGGCATGTTCATCTTCCTTAGGAGGCTGCAGTAGTGCGGGTGGTCCCTGTTCTCAACAGCCTTTGCTCCGGGAAGAATGGACGGTCCGGAGACGCTCACCCGTCCAGGTGAGCACTGCGACCGCATGGCCGCCGCTTCCTCTGCGGGTCTCGGTGACCGCCAACGCGGGGTTTCCGACGACTCCTCCCGACCTCCGGGCGTATACTTCCAGCAGCGGGGCGCTGGCGCACTTACGGCAGCATCGCCTTGGCTTTCTCAAGCTCGGCGGGGCAGGGCTTTTTTTCTTTTCTGGGTGTTTTTCTCTCGACCAAAGGGGCGCACAGGGCAGTAACAGACCAGGACAGAAAAACACACCCCACCCCTAAAAAAAAACAAACACAAAACAGAGGCCTTGTTGCTTAGCAGCGGCCAGAACGCTCGCGCCCCGGGCCCTCCCCCTACGGAGGTGACAGCGCACCACGTGGGCCTTGAGTCCTCGGGGCCGGAAGCTCGTTCTTCGGCGCATCTGCCCGGACAGAGGCCTTTCCGTCGGACCTGTCCCCTGGGAAACCCTTCCGGCTGCGGCACAGCAGAGACACGACGCCCTCGCGTTCCGGCTGCACGCGCCCTCGCAGGCGGCCTCCTACACTTTCCTGCACTCAGGTGGCGGAAGACGAGCCCCCGGGCGCACGTTGCACGAGAACCTGTCTCGTGGGCTCTGCCTCCGGGGCCTCGGGCGCCGCGCCTGTGCCCGGGGAGCTCCGCGCGGCCCTGGAGGCCCCATGGCCACAGAGGGGCGGCCC